GCTTTCCTTCCATTTAAAAAAAAAAAAAAAAAACAGGCCCAGGCACGGTGTCATCGAATTGGGCAAAGCAAAGCGGTGAAGGTGTACCGTCTCATCACTCGTAATTCCTATGAAAGGGAGATGTTTGATAAGGCTAGCCTCAAGTTGGGATTGGATAAAGCTGTACTTCAGTCTATGAGCGGTCGGGATGGCAACATTACAGGAGTAAGTCATAGTCTACAGCTAAGTATGTAGTGAATCAGTGATGGAGATAAAAGCTGGTTTTGTACAGGAATTGACTGCCTTGATTTTCATTTTTTCACAAGTTTTATTATAAATAGTTGTATTAATTATTATTTATTACAATATAATATTATGACATGGTTAGATAATATTCTCTTAGTAGGCTTTTCATCTTTCTCTTGGTGTTTGCAGATCCAGCAATTCTCCAAGAAGGAGATTGAAGATCTCTTAAGAAAAGGAGCTTATGCAGCTATAATGGAGGAAGATGATGAGGGCTCCAAATTTTGTGAAGAGGATATAGACCAGATCTTGTTAAGGCGAACGACAACCATTACCATTGAATCTGAAGGAAAAGGTTCTACCTTTGCCAAGGCATGTTTTGTCTTTGTCAGATAATAGAAAAGCAGAGATAGAGAAAGGAATCCCCAGGATTTAAATGGTTTTTAAGTGCAGTTGCTGATTTCCCATTGCTTAAAAACACATTGTATTTAACTTTACTCTGCTTTTGTTCCTCACTAGGCAAGCTTTGTTGCTTCTGAAAATAGAACAGATATTTCTCTGGATGATCCCAACTTTTGGCAAAAATGGGCCAAAAAGGCTGACTTAGACATGGATGTGCTCAATAGCAAGGTGAGCTTATTCTTCCTTTAGGGAGGAAGTGTTGCAGAAGACTCACAACTTTCAGTCTTTGTAGTTGCTCTGTTTCTTCAATGCTAATCAGTTTATGAATGGTATATTGTTATATACGAGGGCTATCATAAAAACTTTCTACCTTGGAGAACTTAGAAAATTATTTAGATATCTACCACTTAATTCTGTTTCCTGAGTCACCGCAGATGATTTAATGTGTACAAAAAGAACACCAAAAAAATCTGAGCATTCTCATATCCAAAACTATTCAATCCATAATCATCTTAATTCTTTGATAATGAACATATCATGGATAGTTATTTCTCCTTCTATTTTCTGCATAGAATAACTTGGTGATTGACACACCTAGAGTACGGAAACAGACCCGCCACTTCAGCACTCTGAAAGATGATGACCTAGTAGAATTCTCTGATTTGGAAAGTGAGGATGATGAACGACCACGCTCCCGTAGACATGACCGCCATCATGCCTATGGGCGCACTGACTGCTTTCGGGTAGAAAAGCACCTGTTGGTATATGGGTAAGAACCCATCTTGTCACTAAAAGTAGAACATTCACATTCTGATTGATATATGGCCACATAGAAGATCATATGAAAATTTTTTTTATAACAGTGCTTTTCAAGATTTTGTCTTCCATATTTTGGGAGATGTGATTCTGGGAGTCAGAGGAATATCATTGAATTAGAGTTCCCCCCCAAAATATTATTATGTTTCCTTTTCTGTTTTTTAGTTGGGGACGGTGGCGAGATATTTTGTCTCATGGACGCTTCAAACGACGTATGACTGAACGAGATGTGGAGACAATATGTCGTGCCATCCTTGTGTACTGTCTGCTACACTACCGTGGGGATGAAAATATCAAAGGCTTCATTTGGGACTTGATTAGCCCTGCTGAAAATGGCAAGACAAAAGAATTGCAGAATCATTCAGGTAATTATCAACCCTTTAGTTTTTATCTTTTTAAAAGTTATGTAGTCCTTTGCAAGTCTAAGGGTTTTTCTCAATCCAAGTCTTCAATGTCTCCCCTTTCCCAGGTCTATCTATCCCTGTGCCCCGTGGACGCAAGGGGAAAAAAGTAAAGTCACAAAGTACTTTTGATATACATAAGGCAGATTGGATCCGGAAGTATAACCCTGATACTCTGTTCCAAGATGAGAGTTATAAGAAGCACTTGAAACATCAGTGTAACAAGTAAGGATGGAATTTAGTCAAGATATGTCCCTCCTCAAACTTTGTACCCTGTTACTAAGCCACCTTTTTCTTCCCACCCTTCTAGGGTACTTTTGCGAGTACGAATGTTATACTACCTAAGACAGGAGGTTATTGGAGACCAGGCAGAGAAGGTGTTAGGGGGTGCCATTGCCAGGTAAAGTATTTCTGTGATTTCTTTGTTTGATTTTTATGCCCTGCTTTATTCTAGGAATAATGGTCTACTTATTCTTTTTGTACTAACTTTGTAATATCTGACAATTTTCATATTAGATTTTTAATCTAATACTTTGACACTAGTGCAAGGAAATAGGTCAGATACATGAACATTTAAATTGATAGATAAAGGAATATAACTGTAATAATCTTTCCAAGGATTATCACTTTACTTTCCATCATTGATTGCTTTCCTGACTGTGCCCTCTTATATACCTTTAGTGAGATTGACATATGGTTCCCAGTAGTGGATCAATTGGAGGTTCCAACAACATGGTGGGACAGCGAAGCTGACAAATCCCTACTTATTGGAGTCTTTAAGCATGGTAAGTATCTCTTTTAGCCTCTTTCCTTTTGAAGGTTTTTGTTCACAGATGGGACATTTATCAAAATGCTCATACATAATCAGATTATCTCATTGACCTTGAACTCTTTTTTTTTTTTTTTGGAACTGGGGTCAAACCCAGAGCTTCAGGTATACAAGTGATCTTCGGTAAATTAAATTTGTATTTGAGAAAGAAACTTATTCATAAAAATCCAAAGCAGAACAGTTAATTCCGCTGAATAGATGTTGAAGGAACAATAGGTAAATAGTTAAATCTCAAAGTAGGGAGTCTCCCATGTGTTCTTTAATCACTTTTACCCAGTATGTTACCCCACTGAATATTGTAGGATCTATAAGTTAAGGTTCCACAAATCAGGAGGTAAGACATGCCCACTCCTATTAATGATAAACAATTATTTTGATGGTTTTCTGTGGCTTGCCAAAAATGTTATATTTATCTAAAGTCCCATTTGTCTAAATGCTCAATACTCATGGCATTTTAGGTTTAAACAATATGAAAAAGACTTAATTTGTAGTTTTGCCTATTAACAAATCCTAGGAATTAAAAGCAGTGAGTGCTGCACAATGCCATGAGTTCAACTGCCAGCACCAAAAAAAAAAAACAGTGCTAACTGCCAGCACTTTCATGTATTGGAATATTTTTCTTTTTCTTTTTTTTTTTTAAGTACTTTTTAATATTTATTTTTTAGTTCTAGATAGACAGCATGCCTTTATTTCACTTATTATTATTATTATTTTTTTTTTATGTGGTGCTGAGGATCGAACCCAGTGCCTCACATATGCAAGGCGAGCGCGCTACCACTTGAGCCAAATCCCCAGCCCCTAAAATAAGTACTTTTTAAGGGCACTCTTGCCCCTCCCAAACATGCTGTGCAGGGAGTTCTGGATCTTTTTCTCACTTTCTCTTTAAATAAACTTTCTGCTTGCTTGCTTAAATGAGAAAAGTACTTTTCAAGCTCTTGCCTAACATGCATGAAGTCCTGGGTTGTACCCCCAGCAATGCCAAAAAATAAAAACAAATGCATAAAATTCCTGTTTACTTTGATGAAATAATAGTAATAGCATTTGATCTACGTGTTATTGAGAAATTTAATGGAACAAGAAAAACTGAACATTTGTAGTCTTAGATTTTCTTGTGAGACAGAGTCCAAAAGTCCTGAAATGTGTTCATTCATTGATTTAGTATTCATCAAATATTCACTGAGTACTTATTTACTTGCAGGTACAAGTTTCTAATTCTTCATATGAGAATGTGTGGCTTTTTTTTTTTTTTTTTGTGGTGCTGGGGATTGAACCCAGGGCTTTGTACATGCGGTCAAGCACTCTACCAACTGAGCTACATCCCCAGCCCTGACTTCAGTTTCTTCATCTTTGCAATAAGAATAATGCCAAAAAGATTACTGATAAATTGCTGTGTACACCTACCACCATAATGTAAATTTATTTCTTAATTAAATTCTTCATAGTCATTAGGTTAAAACCCTTCATGACTCTAAATTACTATAAAAAAAATTAAGACCCAAAAGCTGTCCAAGTTAATGTTAATTATATTCTGCATTATGAGCAAAGTAGTTCATGTATTCTAATTTGTTCAGTAGTCAGAGTTAGCATAATGGCAAAACAAATCTCTTATTTTCTTCATTTTAAGACCTTTTTTCTTTTAGGCTATGAAAAATATAATACTATGAGGGCAGACCCAGCCTTATGCTTTCTGGAAAAGGCTGGTCGACCAGATGACAAAGCCATTGCAGCAGAACATCGAGTGTTGGATAATTTCTCTGACATAGTAGAAGGGTAAGTTTTATTATTTAATTCTTTTAAACCTTTGCATGTACTCTACAAAGGTAATTAGTTGCTTGTGCTAAAAGGTAACATAGTTCTAACTTTGAACACATTGAAATTCTTAATGATACTTATTTGTGGTAAATCCTTAATAAAGAGTAAGGGTCAGGAGATAGGACTCTACAAACTGGTATATTCTATACATTAACTGGTATATTCTATACACGGGGCTGTAGCGTTAGCTTTAGCTTAGTGGCAAACCACTTGCCTACCATGTGAGGCATTGGGTTCAATCCTTAGCACCACATAAAAATAAATAAAACAAACAAACAAACAAATAAATAGCTTCTGTCCATCTATAACTACAAAGAAAAATAAAAAATAAAAATTATTTTAAAAAATTAAAATACAACTAAGTGGGGAAAGCACTATTACTCCCAAATGGCTTATTTAATATTCTGTTCAATTTGTTTAATTTTTAATACTTTTCTACACAGTTACAGAAGCTGCTAACTATGTCATCTCCCAATAGTGCCTAACACATAAAAGTATTTATTCTGCTTGACTTCATGTCCCAGTGACGAGTTGCCATGCTGATACTGAGACACCAGGTAGGGCATCATTGCCCTCGTTTGGGTGCCAGTGAGTTTAACAAAACTTCTCCATGGAGACCTGAAGGACATGTGAAATTGTTAGCTTAATTAATGAATACCTATCCATTCCTGCATGACTGAGAAAATTCTCTTAGATGAATATATATATATAATTTCAGCTTGCATTGTATAGGACTCTCAAAAGAAATTGGGTCATTTATTCATTGCAAATCACTTATTATGTCACCCTTCTGCTCAATAGAACAAAGTAGTGAAAACAAACAAAAGCATGGACCATTCAAGTGAAATAATAAATGAACATTATGGAAGAGAGGGAGTAGAATGAAAAGGGGCTATCAAAAGAGAGTATTCTGATCAAAGTATTTCATTTTAAGCTAAGCATGGTGTTCCATGCTTGTAGTCTCTGCTATTTCAGAGGCTGATACAGAATGATCATGTGAACCCACAGGTTTGAGACTAATCTGGATAACATAGTGTTAACCTATATTTAACCAAAGAAAGAAAAAAGTATTTCAAATTCAAGAAGTTATGAATGGCACTTTGCCATTTTCTCAGAAATGATCTGTCATTCTTCAAGCATTATATTAAAAACTGTTCGGTAGCAAATTACATGTTTGGCCAGATCTTTATCCTAGGTTCTTCTTATTGCTTTATTAACATTTTCTTTTGCCTCTTAATAATATTAGGGTTGACTTTGATAAGGATTGTGAAGATCCGGAATATAAACCACTCCAGGGCCCCCCAAAGGACCAAGATGATGAGGTAAGTAATTTTCATTTAATCTAGCTTTTCTCTACTGTAAATAGTTGTCCTCTCCTGTTCTTTAAATCTTTAAGTTTTTTGATTAATTTATAATAGAAATTAGATACCATTTGACACTATAAAGAATGAATAGAGAAGCATTATAAAATGCCAATGTGGGAAGATCTGGGATAGCTTTGTGGAGGAGGTGGCCTCAAACTGTATGTTAAAGGATATTACTTACATGTAAATTTCTAAATCTCATTATCTTTGTACCATTGATAAGAACTGATCTTTCAAGTTTTACTTTCCTGTTCTTTTTTTAGTTGGTTGCTTCTAAATTTTTGTGAGGGCTCCTTTCATTAGCAATTTTTCTTGAGGGAATCGTGTATGGTGTCATACCCCTGCAATCCCAGAGACTTAGGAGGCTGAGGCAGGAGGTCACAAATTCACAGCCAGCCTCAGCGATTTAACAAGACCCTGTCTCAAAATAAAAAATTTATTTAAAGGACTGAGATGTGGCTCAATGGTTAAACACCCTTGAGTTTAATCCCTGGTACCAGAGAATTTGAGAGGATTTAGTGTTGTTGTAGAGCATTTGCCTAGCATACATGAGGTCCTAGGTTTAATTCCAAGCAACACGAAAAAAAGAAAATGAAAAATATTTTGATTCCTTGATGCCACAGAAGGACATCCATAAGAAAATGATTTCAGAATTCTAATTTTCCCCCTTTTTTTGTCCACTCCATCCTGTGGTTTGCATCTCCTTTTCTAGGGTGATCCCTTGATGATGATGGATGAAGAGATCTCAGTGATCGATGGAGATGAAGGTAAACTTCTAGGTCACGTGGTACAGTTTTGGGTGGGGTTGGAGATGAGGAATTATTGACTGGATTTTATCCTGTCTGGGGATTTCTAAGAGCATTGCCTTTGAGTGGGCTGACATATAAGTATTATCTCTAATATCTTTTCTGTTCTTCCTACTCATTATTCTGTGTTTTTGTTGTTGTTGTTGTTTTGTTTTGTTTTTTTACCACAGCCCAGGTGACTCAACAACCAGGACATCTGTTTTGGCCTCCAGGGTCTGCCCTAACAGCTAGGCTTCGGCGCCTAGTAACAGCATATCAGCGCAGCTACAAGAGAGAACAAATGAAAATTGAGGCTGCAGAGCGTGGGGACCGGCGACGGAGGCGTTGTGAAGCAGCTTTTAAGCTAAAAGAAATTGCACGGCGAGAGAAACAACAACGGTAAACCATAGCTGAAAATTTGAGCTGAGCTATAAATTTAAAAAAAATACAAAAGGATGGATCATCTTTGCCTTGAATTGTTACCTCTCTGGCTCTTGAGAATCTCACTTATGTGGAATATAATAACCCCAGAAGGGTCTCTTGTGTAGACATTCTCTTTGAGTTAATTGCCTGCGTTATTTTCCCCCTTTCTTTGTTTGGTATTTTCTACATGTTATATAGTACCTCTCACTGCCTCTTCTGAATATTCTTTTTGGTTTGTTTGTTTGCCTGTGTATTTTCAGGTATTGTAAACCATTCAAAGTAACAACCAGTTTTCCCTAGTTCCCCCAATCACTGTTGCCTTACTCCTCTTCCCTTTGTAGCTGGACAAGGCGTGAACAAACTGATTTCTATCGAGTAGTTTCTACTTTTGGTGTGGAATATGACCCTGATGCTATGCAGTTCCACTGGGATCGCTTCCGCACTTTTGCTCGACTGGACAAAAAAACAGATGAAAGCCTTACCAAGTATTTCCATGGTTTTGTGGCCATGTGCCGTCAAGTATGCCGCCTTCCCCCAGCAGCTGGAGATGGTAAGATTGGAGAGTCTAGGGTGAGTGGTAGTGAATGGCTGTAGAACAGCTCTGGTTCACTTCTCTTTCTACTCCTATTTTACAGAACCCCCAGACCCAAATCTGTTCATTGAGCCCATCACAGAGGAGAGGGCCTCGCGGACTCTGTACCGAATCGAGTTGCTTCGGCGCTTAAGGGAACAAGTTCTATGCCACCCGCTTTTGGAAGATAGACTGGCATTGTGTCAGCCTCCAGGTCCTGAATTGCCCAAATGGTGGGAGCCTATTCGTCATGATGGAGAGCTTCTACGAGGGGCAGCCCGCCATGGGGTGAGCCAAACAGACTGCAACATCATGCAGGACCCAGACTTCTCTTTTCTGGCTGCCCGTATGAATTATATGCAGAACCATCAGGCAGGAGCACCAGCTGCATCCCTATCACGCTGCTCTACTCCACTGCTACACCAACAGTATACCTCGCGCACTGCCTCACCATTGCCTCTGCGCCCAGATGCTCCTGTTGAAAAGTCACCAGAGGAGACAGCTGCCCAGGTCCCCAGTCTGGAGAGTCTGACTTTAAAACTAGAGCATGAGGTGGTGGCCAGGAGCCGACCAATCCCACAAGACTATGAGATGCGAGTAACCCCCTCTGACACTTCCCCTCTGGTGTCCCGGAGTGTCCCACCAGTCAAACTGGAGGATGAGGATGATTCAGACTCTGAATTGGACTTGAGCAAGCTTTCACCATCATCCTCTTCTTCCTCATCCTCATCCAGCTCCAGCTCCAGCACTGATGAGAGTGAGGACGAGAAGGAAGAGAAGCTAAGTGAGTGCATGTGACAGGCTGTTGGAACTCTTCCCTTTTTCCCCCTCTGCTCTTTTCTTTCTTTTCTAAATGCATCCTCTTGAGAGAGATTCACATTTTGAGTTGATAAAATGTCAAAAGAGATCTGTTATTCTTTGGGCCTTTATTCAAAGCCCACACAATACCATTCCAATTTAACATTATTCTGCCATATTTGCTCACATGTTCTGTGTGATCTCTAGCTGCTGACCGGTCCCACCCCAAACTCTATGATGAAGAGAGTCTCCTGTCTCTCACTATGTCCCAAGATGGATTTCCAAATGAAGATGGAGAACAAATGACACCTGAGCTTCTGCTACTACAGGAAAGGCAAAGAGCTTCTGAGTGGCCCAAGGTAACAGCTTAATCCTTGGATATGCTAGAGTCAGAAGTAAAATGTAACATTGTATACAAGGAACTGATGGTTCTGGGTTTTGAGTTGTTCTGTTGTTATTTTTACTACTACTAATGCGTGTTTTTTCGTGAAACTCCTTCTGGTTGCTTTAGGGATCTAATATTACAACCACCGTTCTTTCTGCCTTATGATTTTTACCCATCCTAGTAATGATGGCATTGTTGTATGTCAGAGGATTACATAGTGCTCAGACCCTTAAAATGGTGTTTATTTCTTTTCTTCCCACTCAGGATCGTGTCTTGATAAACAGAATTGACCTCGTCTGCCAGGCTATACTCTCAGGGAAATGGCCTTCTAACCGCAGGACCCAAGAAATGATAACAGGAGGAATTTTGGGGCCAGGCAACCACTTACTAGACAGTCCCTCATTGACTCCAGGAGAATATGGTGACTCTCCTGTCCCCACACCACGAAGTAGCAGTGCAGCTTCCATGGCAGAGGAAGAAGCATCTGCAGTCACCACAGCAGCAGCTCAGTTCACCAAACTTCGTCGAGGCATGGATGAAAAAGAGTTTACAGTTCAGATCAAAGATGTAAGCTCAGCATGTAGGCAGTGGGAATTGAAGGAGGCTGTCATTCTTATTAGCCAGTTTCACTAGTAGCATACTAAACATATTTGGTTATCTAACTTTAAAAATGAAAGAAGGAAAAAAATATTAGAGCTCTCAAAGATACATTCAAGGAGTCATTGAAGTTAGGGAAGGGATCTCCTGATGACTAGATTAAAAGAATGTTTTGTTTTGGCAATTCTGGGGGCTAGAAGCCAGGGCTTTTTTCATGCTAGGCAAGTGCTCTGCCACCGAACCACATCACTATCCCAGAAATAGTTTTTAAGGAAATCTATTCTGCACTAGGCTTTTAGGAGGCTAAATTCTAGATCTAAGATCAATTAAAAAAAAAATAAAATCCAGTTTGGGGGAAGCTTTTTGATTACCTGAGTATTGTGAGCCTCTTGTTAAAATAAGAAAAAATCATTCCAGCTGAAATTAAGCCAGTGGTATTCTGTTTTATATATGCAAATTTTTATTTTCCTGATTCTCTTTCCGTTTGAACCTTACTAGCCAATCATTGAGTTACTTAAAGAAGAAAAGCTTTATAAATTGGTATGTGATAGGATAGTAGGATTTTTGCCCCTGTGATGAACTGCTGTGCTAATTCTGACATACCAGGTAGGGGGCTTTAAAACTGTTGGGTGTTAAAATGAACACTACTTCTCAGAAATCTAGATCAAGAAATTAAATCTAAGGAAAAGGTTTTATTACATATGTGATTTCTACCCTTTAGTCAGATGGCCATCCTTCTCACCATCACTGAACCAAAGGATGAGGTTTAGCCCAGGTCTCCCAAAGCTTAATCTTTACCTTTAAAAACATGTGCCATATGATGTTTTGGGTGGGTGGGTTTGTCTTCCTAGGAGGAAGGATTGAAGTTAACATTCCAGAAGCACAAATTGATGGCTAATGGAGTAATGGGAGATGGACATCCATTGTTTCATAAGAAGAAGGGAAACAGAAAGAAGCTAGTAGAGGTAAGTGGTAGAAAAAAACCTTTAACCTCATGATTAAACAAGCTCTTCTTCTTATGTCAAGTACTTGGTGAAAGCAGTTGGGATTGAGGGATTGATTAAATGATGATTAGAGTTATGACTACCATTGGCTCTGTTACCCTTCCCTCCCTGCCCCAAAAAAGCGTATGTGCTCATGGGGGTGGATTCTGGGTTTGCAGCTGGAGGTGGAGTGCATGGAAGAGCCTAATCACCTTGATGTGGACCTGGAGACCCGGATCCCTGTCATCAATAAGGTGGATGGTACTTTGCTGGTGGGTGAGGATGCCCCTCGCCGGGCTGAACTGGAGATGTGGTTACAGGGTCATCCAGAATTTGCTGTTGATCCCCGATTTCTAGCGGTGAGTGACAGTTCCATTTAGCCAGATTTTAAGTCATTCTGTTGGTGTTTCAACTTTATGTTAGAGAGAAAGCATGATGTGTCCTATCATTTTTTTCTGCATCTGCAAGATGGGGGTAATGATACATAGTCTTAGCTGGGCCTGGTGGTGCAGGCCTATAATCCCAGTGACTTGAGAGGCTGAGGCAGGAGGATCACAAGTTCAAGGCCAGCCTCTACAATTTAAGACAAACGCTGTCTCAAAATATGAAGGACTAGGAATATAACTCTTTGGCAGAGTATCTCTGGGTTCAGTCCCCACTACCAAAAATAATAATACCCAGTCTTCCTTCCTCATAAAATGATTATGGGTATCAAAATAGTGTTAAAAGCACTTCTTAAACTTAAATGCTAGCCAGTTATTTACTATTAAACTATTACATAAACCACCTAATTTGGGGGGAGAGATCCGTTTGATGGCAGTTTTCCACTAGGACTAGTCCTTATATGCAAAAAAAAAAAAAAAATTTATTGCCAAAGACATTAAAGTACCTTATAATTACTCCCGAGATGATTTCTGTTCCTCTAGGGTAACTGATACTTTCCTATTACAGTATATGGAGGAGCGCAGAAAACAGAAATGGCAGAGATGTAAAAAAAATAACAAGGCAGAATTGAACTGTTTGAGTATGGAATCAGTACAGACGGCTAACTCTAGGAATGGAAAAAAGGTAAGACTGAAGCACTACCACTTTGGACTCAAACTAGTTGTCAAAGGCTTTTAACAAATATTATATAATATATAATTTTTTAAATCTTCAATAGATCTTTCTGAGTAAAATTACCTTTGATTTACCTGTAAAAAATGTGGAATATATTTATTGGTATTCTTGCAGTACTGTGTATCTTCAGCTCTAATTGAGCATAAAGTTCTAAACATTCAATTTTAGTATTTTAAACATAAATACAAGAATTAGTAAGATATGTAGAACCTTCAGGGTTTATCCTGCTCTTCTCAAAACTAAAGATATTTTTGGAAAATCCTTAGACCTTTTCAATATCTACACCCTCAAAAGTAGGGGGGTGCTGGTTTTTCTTTTTCTTTTTTTTAATATTTTTTAGTTGTTGTTGGACACAATACCTTTATTTTATTTATTTATGTGGTGCTGAGGTTCAAACCCAGCAGCTTGCTCGTGGTAGGCGAGCGCTCTACTGCTGAGCCACAATCCCAACCCCCTGTTCCCCTGTTTTTTTCTTTTCTTCTTTTTTTTTTGCAGTGCTAGGGATTGAACCCAATGCCTCACACATGCTAGGAACGTGCTCTACCACTGTGCTACATCCCAAGCGAATCCTTTAAATTTTTTTTATAATTCTATATATTTTAGATGTGATTTGTGGGACCTATTTAGGAAAACAGTCATGGAGTTTCCCAATATATGAAGTTGAGAATTACTAACAATAATGTCAGTAATAGAAAATCAATTTTGGTTAGTAGGTTATTCCATATTTCCAAATGTACTCATCCCTTTATATAAGTCTTTATAAAACACACACCTTTCCCCCAGTATAACTTGTTCTTGCCTCTTATACTTTTTTTCCTAGTCTCTCATGGTCATAGAAAATCATGACCATATCACTTAACTCTTTCTTTTTTTTTTTTTTAGAGACAGAGTTTCACATCGGGCATGATGTGCATTCCAGCAACTCAGGAGGCTGAGGTAAGCCAACATGTGCAATTTATCAAAACCCTATCTCAAAAAGGGCTGGGAACTGGGCACGGTGGGTATGCTTGTAATCCCAGGGGTTCGGGAGGCTGAGGCAGGAGGATCGCGAGTTCAAAGCCAGCCTCAGCAAAAGCAAGGCGCTGAGCAACTCAGTGAGACTCTGTCTATAAATAAAATATGAAATTTAGGGCTGGGGATGTGACTCAATGGTCGAGTACCCCCGAGTTAAATACCCAAAAAAGGGCTGGGAGTAAATAGAGCCAAGTGGTAGAGTACCCTGAGTTCAAACCCCAGTACTGCCAAAAAAAAAAAAAAAGAGAGAGAGAAGATAGATTGAGTCCAACCTGGGCTATGTTGCCCAAACTGGCTCCAAACTCCTGAGTGCAAGTGAGCCTGTTGCCTCAGCCTCTCAGTAACTTTTTTTTTTTTTTTTTCCTTTGGTATGGGGGATTGAACCCAGGGGCATTTAACTAGAGCCACATCCCCAGCCCTTTTTTGTATTTAAGACAGGGTCTCATTGAGTTGCTTAGGGCCTCACTAAGTTGCTGAGGCTGGCTTTGAGCTTGAAATCTTCCTGCCTAAGCCTCCTGAGCAGCTGGGATTATAGGTGTGTGCCACTACACCTGACAAAAAAATTTTTAATGTAGAATTAACAGTGAATCTAACACTACACTCTGACTGGAATCTGCAGGATTTTAGACATTATCAAATTACATTTTTAAAGTTTTTTTTTTTTTTTTTTTGAGTCAGAAATGTATGTTCCCATGTCAAATGTTAGGCTTAGATTGGAAATAAAGCCTAGAGAAATATTTATCAACTTCCAAGAGTTTAAGCCTGTTCACCAAGTATTGTGGTTAGGCCAGCTGCAAAACAGAGGTGCTAAAAGCAATAACTTCCAGACTCAATGAATATAATCAAAATTTATAGTCAGAACATCTAGAAGAAACCATTTAAAATTCAGATATGTAAAGGTTATGGTTTTTTTTTTTTTTAATTTTTTTGTAGTTGTAGATGGAGAGCATGCCATTATTACATTTGTCTTTTTATTTAATGTGGTGCTAAGGATTGAACCCAGTGCTTCACACAGGCTAGGCAAGTGCTCTGCCACTGAGCTATAACCCCAGCCTTTTTTGTTTGTTTTTTATAATGTGGAAAATTAAATTAATTTGGTAAGGTGCTACCCATAATCTTTTTGTGTTGCCAGCATCCAGCAGTCTTAATCTGACTCTGCTCTTATGTGGAAATAGATGATAATGTTATAAATATCAGTTACGCTACACTTCACATAAGATCATATGAACACCCTGCTTTCAGTAAACATTTAAATGAATTTTTTCAATGCATGTACCGAATCATTCACTGTCTTACCCAGATCTCTTAGCAAAGGTAAGCATTTTGAAATGATTAGATGGAATGTAGGTACAATATAGTCATGGGGGAAAGCAAAAATTCCTGGTTCACACAATCAAATTCTCTGTCTTCAGCATCAGACTGCATGAACCAGCTAAGTCTGCCATTTCCTTTTCCTCATTGCCACCAGTCAAGCCTAGTCTGACTGGACCTGTTTTGCCTTTCCTATTCCCTACCCCCTTCTTTCTTTCTTTTCTTCTTACTATCTTCTGTTCCTTCCTCCCAGGGTCACCACACTGAAACAGTGTTCAACCGGGTTTTGCCAGGGCCTATTGCATCAGAGAGCAGCAAGAAGCGGGCCCGTAGGACACGACCAGACCTTTCTAAGATGATGGCCCTGATGCAGGGTGGAGGCACTGGGTCCCTATCTCTGCATAATACCTTCCAACACAGCAGTAGTGGCCTACAGTCTGTGTCATCTCTGGGTCACAGCAGTGCCACTTCTACATCTTTGCCTTTTATGCCGTTCGTAATGGGTGGTGCAACATCATCCCCTCATGTAGACTCCAGCACCATACTTCATCACCACCACCACCACCCCCACCCCCACCATCACCACCATCATCATCCAGGCTTGAGAGCCACTGGCTACCCCACTTCACCAGCGACTACCACCTCTGGTACTGCCTTGAGGTTGCCACCACTGCAACCTGAGGATGACGACGATGAGGAGGATGAAGATGATGATGATTTATCTCAGGGCTATGATAGCTCAGAAAGGGACTTTTCACTCATTGATGATCCTATGATGCCAGCCAACTCAGACTCCAGCGAAGATGCTGATGATTGAAGTCCCAGCATGGTCCCCATTGCTTGGGTGGCTGCTGTACTTTAATTTACTCTGGCCCTTGGACTCAGTGGGAGGGGCAGGGGAGATGTGGGGAAACCCAGGACTCCAGGAGGTGAAAAGGAAAAAGAAAACTTGTACCTGATTGCTCCCAATTTTGAGAGGATTGGGTGGGCAGGGGAACTCCTTAAATAATACACGACCACTTCCTCATTTCTGGGGAAGGAAAGGAGACTTAGAGCAGCTGGTGCGCTCACCCCTTCCTAAGACACCTCCATTAACCACAGACTATGTAGCGCTGGCCCTAGCCTCTGGCAGAGCCTGTTCCTGGCCGAACTGTGGATACAGCTGGAGGGTCAGGAACTGTTACCTTCCATCCCCTTGGCATTAATAAATTTAAGTTAATCCTTTTTCACTCTTCCTTGTTCTAT